TCTTTAATCTAATTAAGAGTTTTATGTGAAGAAGACTTCTTATCCCACTGAGACTCCCCAAATTTCTCCTATAAAAGGGAGCAGGTTCATTCATTTTACACAACACACATTCACGAACTATCTCGTTACTCTGCCGTTTTCTCTCTAGACCATCACTGACTTGAGCGTCGGAGTGTTCGCGTCGGGACCACCCCCGGCGTGCTTTGCAGGTACCGACGACCAAGGAGACGCAACCCGGTTCGAGAGGAGCGGTCCAGCGGTTCGAGAATTTGTGGTATAACAGATGCCAACTGCGTCGTGAGTTGGTTGAAATCGTTGAGATGATCGGCCACTGACTTTCGCTCCTCCATTTGCAATTTGAACAGCTTTTTCATCAGCATCACCTTGTTTATTGCTGATGGTTTTTCATACATGTCGGCGAGTGTCTGCAAGACCTCCTTCGTGCTTTTTGCTCCCTTCACATGGTAGGCGATGTTCCGAGAGAGTGAAAGAATTATAGCGCTCATCGCCTTCCGATCGAGCACCTTCCATTCATCATCGCTCATCTTCTCGGGTTTTTCCCCAAGAGGTGCGTAGAGGTCCTTCCCGTACAGGTAAGCCTCCATTTGCGTTCGCCAGAATCCAAAGTCAGAACCATTGAACCGTTCGACTTGAATCTTTCCCTCCATCTTATCTCCAACCTCCTGGCTCTGATACCAATTGTTGGGAAATAAGGTCGGATAAGATGGAATAATAATAATACACCAATGTGAAATCAATAAAAGACACGAATATTTGTTAACCCAGTTCGGATTAAATCCTACGTCTGGGGGCGAACCAAGCCAGGAGAATGAGCTAGAATAAGAGGATAAACCGAATGTTACAACTCACACAAGCCCGTATGAATACACTCTCTCTACTCTTTCTTCACACTTATATGTATTTCTTTTTCACTTGGATTGGATACAAATGAGGTTACAAAATGAGGTATTTATAGCCAAACAAATCCTTCTTGCGAGGAAGTTGAGAGGAAGCTCCCTTCCTTTGACTAGGAAGTTGCAAGGAAGTAGCCTTCCTTTGACCAGGAACTTACGAGGAAGTTCCCTATCTTTTACCAGGAACTTACGAGGAAGTTCTCTTTCTTTGACCGGGAACTTACGA